CATATTAAATGGCTGCTCATGCTATAGACCTTGAGGATGCTTACAACCGAGTTGATTACGGCAAGCTCATGGATCTCCTGATGGAAGGTGATGTTGACCCCTGATTGGTACACTGGATCTCCGAGGCTCTGTTTGAGAGGAAGGTGGCGCTGAGAAGTGGGTGATGGATGTCAGACCCAGTAGTGATTGCCTCAGGACTGCGGATCAGCCTTATCACCGGTTCTGTTCAACATATTATATACATCCAAAAAATTGCCAGGATCGGTGTAAGTGGAGCAGGAAGAATCCACATGCACGCCAAATTAAAAGTGGGAGAGTCAGCGATCTGTGAATGTGGACACGACCAAGAGGATGCCAAATGCCAACCATATCCTTCAGCACTGCCCGCGCTTCGCCACCCTTCGTACACAGACGTGGCAAAATGTGGCTCCCCTTGAGAGAAAGCTCTTATAGCAGTCTCTCAATCGAACTGCACAGTTTGTGCGCGACATTGGACTGACTGTCTAGCTGCTGTCATCGAGAACGAGGAAGAAGAAAAAGAAGAAGAAAGGAAGAATCCTAACCTTTGCAGATGATGTGATGGTCTACAGACAAGGTCGTGATAGGTTAGCGGATTCTTTCAGTCATAGACTACTGCGGTCTGGGCATCTTCTCCCTTTCCAAGACTCAGATAGACAGGTTGGAGAGAGTACAGAATGAAACTATGAGGGCCGTTCTGGGTTGCACAAAGGACACCCATGTTGTCTGTATGAGACACATCCTTGACCTGGCCAGCATCAGAGTGAGGCATAATGTGGCACAGGCAAAGCTGTACTTGAATGTTTTGAGAGACCCGAGGCACCCTTTGCGTGACAACCCAAGTAGCATCAAAGGAAACAGTATCAAACGGGGCAGCTCATGGATGGCAGAAGCCGAAAAGTTTCTGGCATCGATGAAATATGCTGTGAAAAGGAATGGTTTGAACCGAGCTTCGATTACAGAATCCTGGCCAACGTTCACATCACTAAGGGTCGTGAAAGACAGGAATGCGCTGCTGTTATTAACGACAATGACATACGACAGTTAATTGAAGAGCATTCCAAGCAAGATGACCCAGTGATCTATACGGATGGATCAGTCAGGAGGAGTGAGAGAAGTGGATGGGGTTTTGTGATGTACAGTGGGAACAAAAAGGTTCATAGCATGTCAGAGGCCATAGAAAGGACAACTTCAAGCCTGAAAATAGAGATTGAAGCCGTAACAAGAGCGCTTGGATGGCTACAAAATACAAGACCAAGAACTACCCATTTCATCATTGTCACAGACCCCCAGAGCATCCTGCGAAGGGTTGAGAAAGGGCTGCTTCGGAGTGAATGAATGAACCCCATACAACACTCATCACTTAGAGCCATCAGGTGGATCTTCTGTCCTGGGCACTCTGGAGTGAAAGGCAATGAGGAGGCTGATAGGCTGGCAGGCAGAGCCGTGGTGGATGGTGAGGTGAAATTTGACAAAGGAGAAGTGCTGAAGACCCTGGAGGAAAAGTTGCGGGATGAAGAAGACAGGGAGACAGCAGAACACCACGCAATCATCAGGAAGCGGGAAATGGGGATAGAGAGGGGAGAGGGAAGAACGGAACGATTTTCTGGAAAGGAAAGACGTCGCCATAATCAGACAGCACCGGAACAGTCAGTATGGATACCTTTGCGGGCTATGGTGCTGGGGGAAAACTGACCACTTATGGACTTGTCCGGTGTGCAATGACGTTGTTACCCAGGACAGGTAATACAGGTAATTATATTCAAAATATAAAGTCAAGTGGAAAATACGGCGCTCTAGATACAGAAACAATGGAAAAGGTAGAAAGGCAAAAGAAAGAGGATACATGATCGGTTCATTTAGCAAGAAAAGGAAAATAGAGAAACATCAAAATGAATTCATCATCATCATCATCATCATCATCATCATCATCATCATCATCATCATCATCATCATCATCATCATCATCATCATTTCCCCCCTTTTTGTCCACATCAGGAACCCCTTAGCAGTTCTGTTATTCGTCCGCTTAGCTATGCTGGTATGGTATACACGAAACCTACTAGATCTACATGTACGAATGAGTTTTCTCCTTTATAATTATAAGAATGAAGACAGAAGTAGCATAGGAAAAAGAAAACCATTCAAGGGGAACTTCCAGCTCATAAAATGTTATGCTTCTCCTATGACAAAACAAAACTGAATATCAAATATATCAAGGCAGTTGAGAGATTTACAATATTTTTTAAAATATGCAAAGGCTTTTAATTAATTTTTTATAATCAATAGCAATTGATAGCCCAAGGTTCAGTTTTTGACATAGATCTAGTTCATTAAAAAACATTGGTATTAAAACTGTTAAAGTTCGCACGCCTTCTTTTTTATGGAATAAAATCGTCCAAGGGACACCACTGCAAATGTAAAAATTATTAGATCTAGTCAACAAACCCTCAGGGGTTGCAACGTGATTACAGAGTTGATTCTTCAGTCTTCAGTTTCACCTCATTGCGTGTCTACACACTACTACGCGACACTGGTCAGTTCCTTATTTTGTCTATTCACTCACTTTGTCTCATGCTAGGTTAATTTTGATTTGAAACTAGAGTCTAGATCTAGTAAGGACATAAATCAGCCAGTACTGTCAGTCACTGCCACATTTTCATTGAAAGGAGGAGATCCCCTCGAACAACTCGGCCAACTGACAGCATTTTTAGCAGAAAGTGCTTTGTAATTGTGAGTTTGTCTATTATTATCATAATTATCATGCCCTTAGTGTAAGTCACCTAATTAATCGTGTACTCTTATGAAAAGTACAGAGGAAATAAGGGTAAGATTGAAGAATACCGGACCAGCGGACTGACTTTGCCGAAAGTGGCTATTCTCACCCGCCCGGAAGTTCTCGCAAGATCTACTCCTCCCCTCTTCTCTCTCTCTCTGTCTCTTTCTGAATACTGTCTATCGGTGTGGACGATCAAATTGACCAAAACAAAGTTAAAAAATGATGTTAAAACACAAAAGTAAATTAATTTGGTTGTCTACAAAGATGCTACGGCTATTTAACTTTTCGAATCGAGCCGAACTACGCGGGTCGCCATTTTGTTTTGTTCTCTCTCTCACTCTCTCTCTCTCCCCTGCCCACAGACAAAATTGTACGCTTTTAGTAGGCTACAAGTACAGTTGTAATGGAACGTTTGTTCACAGCACAGAATTCTACAATTTTTCTCTTATCACAGTGTAGAATTCTGTGGTTTAGGGTGAACGCAAAATTTGTTGACACGCGCACCGGGTGAGAATAGCCACAAGACCCGCCTGCACTATTCTCACCCCGGGTGAGAATAGAGGTGGCCGACTTTGCCAATGTCTCAACCTGAGGAATTCATGATTTTCCCAAGTTTTTATATATCTCTCAATGGAGAATCTCGGGTATCTCAGACCGGTAGATCTATTTATTAAAATTTTGCGTTAAAATTTTGTCAGGGGGGGAGACCCCCCTGAACGCCCCACCCCCTCCTCCTCCACCCCAACCACCCACCCCACATTCTCGCGCGATAATACGAGTGGTCCGGTATTCTTAAATCTTCCCGAAATAAGACACAATTTTCAATTTCTAACTCTTTCAAATCACTCTTTCTCAGTCAGTGTTTAATTAGCATCGAAGTGGCTAGCCTCTTCCAATTAGCATTAGGGCTAGGGGCCACCTATCTGGCACTGGTTAGTTTTGCCCTCCCACCGCCTTGTTGGTTTGTTTACATCAGCAACCTGATGGCCTCTTGGTATGACAGGTTAGATCTAGAGTTTTGATTTTATAGATCTACATTTTTCAGCTTAATTAAAATCTTCATTCTTCGTTCCGATTGGCAAACTACAATAAGTTTTAGCGCCCGCTTTCAGGGCGGCAATCAGTTGCTGTTTGATTCTTGCTGTTAAAAGAAACGGAGTGTCTACGTATGTCTCACTATTCTTACCCCCTCGTTTTACCGGAAATGACCCTAGAGTGATCAGGGCTGACGTTAGCAGGCATGACCCGTGGGGGGGGGGGTCAGGGCTGATGCTCCACAACATCATGTTTGCTACTGTTCGTGTCCGAATAGTCACAGTCAGGGTTGTCAGTTTGGAGCCAAATCCCAGAAATTTGGCTCTTTTGGATCGTGTCTAGCCTGGAAAATTTCATTTGGCTCTCTGGCTCTTTTTTGGCTCCAAACTCTAAATGCTCAAGAAGAAGGGGAAAGAAGAGGCAAGAAAAAAAAGAAAAGAAAAAAAAATGAAAATAAAGAAGCTGGGATTGTTTAATAATTATTGAACTAGATCTAGATCTTGTTTTAACACGATTTAACGCCCTGGCCCATTTGGTCTGAATAATTTTCAACCCTTCTACCGTCGTGCAAGAGCATTTATCAGGGTGGCCAGGGAAGTCGGAAATTGGTAGGAAATTTTTGTTTAGGTCGGATAGGTTGGATTTTTGTCGGAAAACTTTTGTTCCCGACGGAAATGGTCAGATCAACGTCGACAATAATTTTAAGGAAATTTGAGGAAATTCTAAGAAGACCCGGGAAAATGCATAAAATTTCTAGAATATTTGAAAACCAAATCCAATAACGACATCTATAAGTTCATTCGCCTTTTCCTGGTCTGAGAGTTGGTTTGACGCGAACAGGCGGCTATGGCAGCAAGCGGAAGTGTATCAGTGATACCGATGCTCGATCGGGAAAATCTAGATATATTTTCGCTTTCACTACCACCCTGAAATTTGCTGGTATTGGTCTGATAACACAACATTGTAACCTGCAGTTTGTGCATTACAAAGGCTGTGTCTCCATGAAAGTAAATCAATATTTGTCACTTGTGTAAAAAGAAAAGAAAGTTATACAAGCGTCTTGTCGGGCTCGCCGTCATGACTGGTCAGTGAACCTGCGCGTTTATATGTCACACACATGATAAGGCGTCGAGTGAGTACCGTGAATGTTGGGGGTCACCAAAGTTCATACTAAGTCTGAGCGCTGCGTAGTATAGGACTGTGGAATGGCGGCGTTATTGATTTTTTTGAAAAAGTAACACTCGGGGGGGGGGGGGGGGGGGGGGGGGGGGGGGTTAAAGGCAACACCGGAGGATAAATACTGAACTTGGTAGCAAATTTTAGCATAATTAGCATTTAGAATTTTGATTACAACGAGAGCTTTCTGCATAGCACGTGTTGGGTCAGGCCTTGTGTGGAATCGTGTCTAGCCTTTTGATGTTTTGGTTTTTGCTTGGACTGCAGTTAGGAGGGGGTTAAGTGTTCATTGTCCAACATTGTGACCTGCTGTCTGTCTTGGCAGAGTCTGTGTTTTATGGTTTTTTTTGTTTTGAAAGGTTGGTAGCTGTGCCATATCATGTCATCCCCTTGAAAATTAAAATCATTTTTTAGATCTGTTCTAAAGCCTACATTACCTTTTCCCTTTCTTTCAAAAACTTGGTAAATTTTTGCTTTTAGACCCACATCTTTTGTTGTGGCTTATTGAGTACGGAGTGTCTACGTACACGGTAACCGGGCACCTAGCCTCAGTGTCTATGTACATGGTAACCGGCAACTGGGCCCATAGTCTCAGTGTCACGTACACGGTAACCGGGCAGTTCAGAACTCCAAGTTCAGTTTTTGTCATCCGGTGTTTCCTTCATCCCCACCCCTCCCCTGACTGTACCTTAAAAAAAAAATCAAATAATCCCCCCATTCCGGAGCCCTATACTTCTCACGCACAGACTTTGAATGAACTTTGATGACCCCCAACCGGTACTCACAATCACAATGTGATGCACACGCACAGGTTCACTGATCGGTCACGATGGCGAGCCCGACAAGACGCTAGTATGACTTTCTTTTTTTCCAGCAAGTGACAGCACAGGACAAAATACTGATTTATTTTCATTCCGGTTTACCGTGTACGTAGATACTGAGACTAGGTGAGACTAGGTGCCCGGTTACCGTGTACGTAGAAATTAAAGACTAGGTGCCCGGTTACCGTGTACGTTGACACTCCGTATTGAGTACTCTTACTTCAGAATAGAACTGTAAAAGATTCTGTGGAGAAATGTGGACTGAAACAGGTATAAATAATGTATGTAAGCAAAATATGCAGCGTCGTAGGATGATTCATCTGTCTCTGAGAAACATATTGTTTGTTGTTCAGATGTATTTATGATTGAAGAAGGACGTTTTACTTTGTAGTGTTAGTGAGACATATTATTGTTTAGATAAATGAAGTGGCTAGCCGTACTGGCTAACCTGACAATCTAGCCGTACTGGCTAACCTGACAATCTAGCCGTACTGGCTAACCTGACAATCTAGCCGTACTGGCTAACCTGACAATCTAGCCGTACTGGCTAACCTGACAATCTAGCCGTACTGGCTAACCTGACAATCTAGCCGTACTGGCTAACCTGACAGTCTAGCCGTACTGGCTAACCTGACAGTCTAGCCGTACTGGCTAACCTGACAGTCTAGCCGTACTGGCTAACCTGACAATCTAGCCGTACTGGCTAACCTGACAATCTAGCCGTACTGGCTAACCTGACAATCTAGCCGTACTGGCTAACCTGACAGTCTAGCCGTACTGGCTAACCTGACAGTCTAGCCGTACTTAGATCTAGGTTTGGCCCAAAAGACTGAGACCTGTTTAGTACACAGGTCTCATTAGATCTAGTAATTATTCAGGTTTAAAATACACATGCATGTCAGTAAGGCCCCTTTTGATTTCTTCTGAAATACAAATACTTTAGGTATTACAAATTAAAATGTTATTTATAATTCAGCCATCATTATTAAGCACGGCTGGCCTGCCAGTCTAGCTGTACTTAAGCCAAGCAGTCTAGCTGTACTTAAGCCAAGCAGTCTAGCTGTACTTAAGCCAAGCAGTCTAGCCGTACTTGTTTTAGGCCCTATTAGAAACTTGTTGAGTACACATTTCTCGTTAGTTATTATTCAGGTTTAAAATACACGCACTGTCAGTAAGGTACTTTTTGGTTTCGTCTCAAGTACAAATACTTTAGGTATTGCAAACTAAAATTTTATTTAGAATTCAGTAAGCCTATTTCTTTCTGCTTGTTAGTCTAGCCATCATATAAGTACGGCTAGCCCAGGCGTCATTAAGTACGGCTAGCCTGCCAGTCCAGCGGTACTTAAGTACAACCAGCCTAGCAGTCTTAGCCGGGCCTCTTCCTTAGATAAAATTATGATTGAAGAAGAAGAATTTTCTTGTTTTTGTGTTCTGAAGTTGTTCTTTTCCTTCCTCCCAGTTGGAGTTCACTGCGACAAGTGGAAGCTACTCTCATATCATAGATTTGACGAGAGCTTTGGTCAGTATGAGCGAGGGGGAAGAGCGAGTGTCCAGTAGCGACACTCTGGACAAGCCTTTGTTCCGCGACATTACGGGAGAGGACTACGACCCGGAGATCACAGAGCTGGAGAGTCTTTGCATCAATTGTGAGGAACAGGTAAGACGAGACGGAGTCACCTGTCTCTAGAGTTTGGACTAACGGTCGGATGGGTCCATTACTTGCGGACGCTGTTTTTAGGGTTCACACTACAATTTTATTTACTCAGCGGGCAGGCAGGCAAGCGGACGAACAAGCAGACAGACAAGATACTCGACGCGAAGTTAGGCCTATCATCTATCGTTTGTTAGGCCTGGTGTTTCAAGGCTCTAGCAGTGCCACAGGGAATGAGAGAGGCTGGTGATGCAGTATGAGCGTATGTGTAACCTTTGACCTCATTTGTGGGTCACACTGTGGGGAGGGGTGGATGGTGGTGTGTGTGGTGTCTGTATTTGGGGGAGGGGGGGTAGTAGGAGTAGTGGTGTGCAAATAATGCAATTCAAGGAGACCCTCACCCGTCCACCCGCTTGCTAAACGAACTGTTTGCCATCTGCCGACCAGAGGTGCAGCGAATGAATCTTCACAAATGGAGGGTGTGTTACCTGTCCATCCGTCTGCCCACCTGCTCAAATGCATGGAGTCGTTTCGTCCGCCAGCTTGCTAAACGAACAGGGGGCATAGCGAACGAATATTCACAAGCGGACTGCTTGTTACCCATCTGCTTGTTTGCGAGTGGTACCAGCGAACCATTGGTTACTCGCGGACGCTGATTTAGCTAGCCGACCTAACTTTACCCGTCACCATGGCCTTGGTCGTCTGTCGATGCCTCACTCTTTACCACTACAGGCCTCCATCTTCTATAGTAGGAGGGCCATTTTTGAGAACATCTAACATTTTGAAAACCTTTTTCTTCCAACTAGGCATGTCCATCCACTGCAGGATGTAAGCCCCCCCCCCTCTACTAAAACCTCCACTCTGTTCTGTCGTTTGTTCTCCATATCCAGATTGTACCAGTTTGCTCGCGGGCGTCATCTTGCTACCTTCTTTCTGGTCTTCCTCTCGATTCTGAAAACCTAGGATATTGCAATAACTTTTTCTTTACAAAAAAAATGGACGTTTGGACAATTTGTTTCTTTCTGTGTTATTCATATTGTCAAACCAATGTGCCAAGATCTGGACAATAAAGATGTATCTTATCATATCTTATCTTATTTATTCAAACCTAAAAACTGATATTTCCACAGGGTATCACCCGGCTCTTCTTGACCAGGATCCCCTTTTTCAGAGAAGTGATTGTTGCGTCTTTTTCCTGCGATCATTGTGGCTACAGAAATGCCGAGCTTCAGCCTGGTGGAAGGATCCAGGATCGCGGTGTGTCGTTCAAACTGAATATCCAGACTGTTGAGGTGAGTTGTTAGCTCTGTTGTTAGATCGGTTGTTGTCTTTGCTTGGCTGACCGACATTATTCGAATCCCCAGCACAGCCATTAAACCTGACTGGTTCTGGGAGCTTTCAAGGTTTTTTTTAACCGCCTATCTTGGTATCAGTAGAAGTGTACACTCGGTTTGTAATTGTTATTGATCCATTTGTGAGGCATCATGATGAAATGAGGTGTTTGTCAAAATGATGAAAAAAAAAAAAAAATCTGCATTTTTCTGGTTGCTGGGGATATTTTTTCGATTTAAAAAAATGTGCTCAACTCCTTTTATGTCCATTTAAAAACACATTTCTGTGTGGATAGTACCGAAAAATGCCCATTAAAGGCACGAAAAATGTAAATTTCCAGTTTCCAAGGACACTCAAGCTTTGGAAGTCATCAAACTTTGGCAGCCATTTTCTCGCTAATTTTACCTGTCATAACAGGTGACCCTCACCTCCTTCAATGGCAAATATCTCTATTTCTATTCAAGATGGGTATTTTTTTGCGCCAAATGCAAGACAAATGAACAAAACTTAAGATGATATTAATGTCTGTTTTCTATGTGCCCAAATATTGACGAGTGCCTGATTCCAACATGTTGTGACACACATATATGTGAGGCAGCATGGTGGAATCAGGCTCTCGTCAAAAGAATGAAATCGAAGAAAACAGCAGTTTTCTCCCTGCTTAGCAATTTTTATCAAATTTTTGTTTTATGGCTCAACACCTTTTATGTCCATTTACAAACGCATTCCTTTGAGGACTTCACCGAAAACGTTGATTAAAGGCACAAAAATATAAATTTACAGTTTCCATGGACTCTCCAGCT